CTCAGGACAAACGGTGAGCCCGAGCCCATGGCCTCAGCAAGGTGGCCATCTCAAGGAGCATGCTGCTAGACCCTGGGCAGGAGGTCCCACTGGTGGGGCCGCCTGGGGCAGTGGCTGCAGTCCCTGGCCACCTTCAGCAGACAGGACTGTGCAGGGCTGTGCTGGTGGTGAGGGTTCCAGGCATGGGATCCCCAGACACTACTCTTCTGCTAGGGACCAGGAATCTGGAGTCTGTGCTGTCTGTGGCCAGACCACTGCTGGGCAGTGAGGACACCATCCTGGGTGGGAGGGCTGAGCTGGGGCCTCACGACCCAGTACAGCGGACCCCCAAGCCCCAAGCCTGTAGACTCCTAGCCCACCCCTCAGCCGATGGGAATAGACAGCACCCCCCCCCATCACCAGCCTGTAGACACCCGGTCCACCCCTCGATGATAAGCACCACCCACCCCCACTCCCAACCTGTCCCTCTGGGACAGGGCTAACTGGTTAGGACAAGCGCAGCCACCTTCCTCGTGCTCCCAGGAGCAACATCTGCTGTGTTCAGGATGCCGGGGGTCAGGAGAGCCGCAGGGAGGAGCCCTGTCCCTCACCTTTGAAGATGCACACTAGGGCAGGGGCAAGGGTGCCCTTTGGGCCACTCCCTAAGAGGTGTCAGTGGTGATCAGAATTCTCAGAGAAGCCATCAGCCAGTCCAGCACTTAGATGAGCTGTAACCCTGAAATCACAAACCCCTAGTCGAACGGCCAGTGTCGAGCCCAGTGCAGACATCCCAGGATCAAAGGAGAGCAGAGACTGAGGTTGGGGCGGAAGATGAGGGAGAGGAGTGCACGTCAGGAGGGGACTTGGGGGGACAGCTTAGAAAGGGGGTTACCATCAACATCAGTGAGTGGCACATGTGGGGGTGTGGATGGGGGCCTGCGGACAGGCGAGGGGACTGTGAATGGGTGGGAGGTTATGGGCAGACTCTGGCTGTGGGTGTTAGGGTGGCTGTGGATGGACAGGGGTGTTGTGGACGGGGAGATGGGCTGTGGACGGGCAGGGGGCTGGAGATGGGATGTAGTGGATGGAGAAGGGCAGTGGGGGCTTTGTAAAGGCAGAGGGATGTGAATGGGGGGCTGGGGATGGGTAGGGGGTCTGTGGAAGGGCACGGGGCTGGGGCAGGCAGGGGGCTGGGGATGGGAGGTGGGGGCTTTGTAAAGGAAGAGGGACGTGGACGGGGGGCTGTGGATGGGCAGGGGGCTGTGGAAGGGCACGGGGCTGGGGCAGGCAGGGGGCTGGGGATGGGAGGTGGGGGCTGTGGAAAGGCAGAGGGATGTGGATGGGGGGCTGTGGATGGGCAGGGGGCTGTGGGCGGGCGGGGAGCTGGGGATGGGAGGAGAGGGCTGGGGATGGATGGGCAGTGGGGGCTGTGGGCGGGCGGGGGACTGTGGAAGGGCAGCGGGATGTAGATGGGGGGCTGGGGATGGGAGGGAGGCTTTAGACTGGTGGGGTCTATGGACGAGTAGAGGGCTATGGATGGGCCGAGGGGCAGTGGATGGATGAGGGGGCTGTGGACATGCGTATGCTCTCCGTGTGTTCTCAACTGATCATTCAGGGATACAAGAAGGGTGGAGGCAGGGCTGTGGGGTGACACCCACTGAAAGTACCCTACAGCCTGGTGCAGAAGCGGCGCGGGAGGATGACAAATGAGGGTCTTGGAGTAAACCCTTGCTGTTCCGCTGGGCATCACTTCCTCACGCAGCTCAGCTGGGGTAGGCCCTCAAATCTGGCCCCACACCTGGGCTAGAGGGGAGGGGGTTGGAAGGGGGGAGGGAAGGCTGTTGGAGTGGCTTCTGGCCATTCTCAGTGACCCTGAGCCCAGGGCTCAAGTCCTTAGGGTTCTCAAAGGTACCATGAGGCCAGGAAGGCAGTGTGGCATCATTTCTGCGGGTTCCACCCCTCTCTGCCACCAAAACCGTGCTCTGCTGGCCACCGGAAGTGACCACAGTCAGGCCTGTGAGTGGCAGATGACAGAAGGGTGTTCAGCACGAGTGTCTGGGGCGTGAGGATGAAGGCTCTGGACTCTGGCCATTCACAAGCTCACCCCCCCATCTCCTCACACCCCAGAAAAGGCTCTTCTCCTCACAGAGTGGAGATTGCGGCCCGTCTTTCCACTAAACACCCCCCGGTGAGAGCCTCCGGGTGAGGGCTAGGAGGGGTCACCCCTGGAAACCAAAGAAAATGCCCCAAAATCACAGCCACAGGGCAAGGGAGCTGCCAGAGGCCCTTAGCAATAGCACTGCTCTGCAAGTCCAGCTGCTCCCCACGGAGGTGAGCCCTGGGGCTCCTGAGGGTGCGGGTGCAGAGAAGTGAACCTCATCCACGACAGGTGAAGACCCTGAGGCAGAGAGGAGCAGGGGCTCACCACAGTCACTGCGTGTCTCGGGGTCCCCGGGAGCCTCTGAGAACACGGGGTTCATCAGTCCAAGAAGCGACCAGGGATCACAATGCCCAGGCTGTGAGGGGCAGTGAGGGTGGCTTGGCTCCCCAACAAAGTGCATGCAGAATTACCCAGGAGGCGGCCCCAGAGCACGGGCTGGGGGCAGGCCAGTGGGGACACCCTCCCCTGGCTGCCTGGCCCCATGACTCCCTCCCCCACCCTCGTCCAGAACCTGCCAGGCGAACGCCGGCATCACTGCTGAAAACCCAGATTTTAACCAAGATGCAGCAGCCCCTTCGCTGCCCCAGTTAGGCGCTCTGGGTCACACGGACCTGGGGGAGAAGCCGCTGGCCACCGCGAGCTCACATGCACCCAGGCCACCGGCCCATCCCACCATGACTCCCAGACTCAAGGCCTCCTGCCCCCAGGAGAGGCTTGGGTCAGGAGATGCTGGTGGCCTCCTGGCTCCTCAGACCCCTCCTCAGAGGTTGCACTTGACTGATCTGGACACCACAGTGTGAGACCTGGGCAGTCCTTGTGTCCTGTGCCCGAGCCACTCGTGGGAGCAACGGCCCAGAGCCCCTGAGGAGGTGGGCGTCTCCTCTGTAGGGCGGTGGGAGGGCTGTCCCACACGCTGCCGAAGTCCCTCGTTCCCAGCATAGAGACAGCTGCACCCCAGAGTGGAATCAGGGCGAATGGCTTGGGCCACCTGCTTGGCTGGGGATCCCTCAGGGACAACCTGGTGGCCCATAAGCTCTGCAAGGGGCTACTATAGTCTCTCAAAGGGACCTGGGAACCCCAGGCTGCACTTTCTCAGCACAAGGCTGGGGAGCCCCCTCTGGCCAGGACCGCACCCACCCTGGGCCACACCATCAGCAGGGGCAGAGGAAACTGCAGGCCTGCAGATTCCGAGGCCCGGGGGTGGGGCCCACAATAGGGCTCCCAGCAGGAGTCCAGCCAGCACAGCCTACTGCTCAGAGCAGGACCCCCGGGGCCTGCGCCACACCATCCCAGGAGGTCAGGCCCCAACGGACATTAGCCTTTCATTAGGTGCTGTTGTATCCACTCAAATTCACAGAGTGCCTCTGTGCAAGAAAGATCAAAATCCTGCCCCGTCCCGTGGCCCCTCCCCATCTGCCCTCAAGTCCACTGTTGTTGCAGCCACTGCACCAGTCTGTCTCCTTGAGGGACGTCCTCCGTTCCCCTGATGAAAAAGGTTGTTGGAACTTCCAAACCCACACATGCGACAGAGCACTCTGACCCCACATTGGTTACAGCCTCGGAACCTCCCAGAGCACACACGTCGCTGCCTTACAGGCACTGGGAGTCAGAACCCAATGCTGGCACATCACCACAGCCACCACCACCACCATTACCTCCATGACCAACACCATGACCACGACCACCCCCACCACGACCACCACCACCATGATGACCACCACCACCATGACCACCACCACCACGACCACCATGACCACTACCACCCCCACAACCACCACCCCCACAACAACCACCACGACCACTACCCCCCCACCATTACCTTCATTACCAACACCACCATGACCACCACTACCATCAACACGACCACCATGACCACCACTACCATCCCCACAACAACCACCACCACTGCCACCATGACCACTAACAACAGAGCCAGGACCACCATCAGTAACTTATGTAAGTTCTTGTGTTCTAGAGATGTAAAACCATCACACCGTGAGGAGAATGGGTCCAGGGAAGGGCCTCTCCTTCAGCCTCTTAGGACGAGCCTGCACCAGGGTCCAACCTGGTGATCAGTCTGCTCTCTGCCCTGATTGGACAGTCCACTGAGAAGGGGCAGGGTTGCCAGATCAAGGCTTCTATCTCATCAGGACACAGGGGGTACCGGGCACAGGCTCCATTGCAGCCCTTGTCCAGTGGGAACCTGGAACCCTGGGCAGCAGTGTGGGCTCCACACATAGTTCAGGAGAAGTTCATGATACTGGAGCTGGGAGTCCCCAGTCCTACGCTCCAACCTCAGGATCCTCTACCCAGCCAATCCTGAGAACATGACACGAGCTCAATCTATAACTGAAAGCCTCCAACTACAGAATCCTGACTTTACAAGTTCCAAAAGAAGGTCTCCCTAACCAGGGGATAATCTCAGGGGGTTTATCCAGCTCTGCCCTCCCAGCCCACTCCCTGCGCAGGGCTGCAGACATCCCAGGGGACTCTTTGGCCCAGATGAGATGACCATAATGCCAGACAGAAAGTGACCTGGCACAGGTCAAGACAAGAGTCGTTGGCTGTGCGTGGTGCAGTGCCACGTGGGGAGAGGAGGGAAACTGAGCTCTGAGTTCAGCCATCCAGGACTGAGAGCCTTCAGGCAGGTCCCTGGACCACAGAGACCTACTGTCTCCATTTGTCCCGGGGAAGCAAAGACTAGGTCCTGTGCGCCTTGACCCCATCCGTGGTGTGTTCTCAGCCCCTGAGCTTGGTGTTCTAGGCCTCGCATCCCCTGCCAGTCCTGAGCCACTCCAGCTGGCCCCGAAGCCAGGCTGCCTGCGACAGGAGGGTGAGCAGGACGCTGCGGCCGCCTTACCTGCGTAGCCACCGGTGGACTTAATGTACATCTGGCTGTACTGCTCCTCCACCATGGTGTCGTACGCCTCGTCATCCTCCTCATCCTCCTCGTTGTGGTAGGAGGTGGGGCTGTCGGTGGTGGGCAGGCTGCTGGCCCCCGGACTGGTCCTCTCGCCCTGGGCATAGGGCACCGGCTGGATGCTGGGGATGAGGGTGGCCAGGCTGGGCACGCCGTAGTAGGACACGCGGGGCAGCTTGAGGGGGGCTGTGCCAGCCGTCACCGTGGCACCTGCTGCCGCTGTCACACCTTCCCGGGCCCCCGTCTCCAGTGGCCGCTTGGTGGCCAGGCCTGGGCCGGCGGCGTGCGGCAGCTCCACGGCCTCATGCTTCACACGGGTGAGCAGCGGGATGGGTACCGAGGGGGACACGACATAGGGCGTGGCGGGCTGCAGCTGGTTGCAGGGGCTCTGGGGCGCAGAGCCGGCGTCCTCAATGACAGCGCTCTGGGAGTCGCAGTGGGGCGAGCTCACCTTGAACATGAGGTCGGTACCGCGCTCCACGATGTGCTGGATCTGCAGGAAGCCGGCCGTGTACATGACCACTAGCTGCTCACTGGCCGCCATGGTCAGCTTGCCCGTGTAGCAGAAGGACAGGATTTGCTGGAAGCAGGCGGGCGGGACGGTGCCTGGCAGCTCGAAGGCGCTCTTGCTGTTGCCACTGAAGAGGTCTCGGAAGTAGAGGCTGCTGGCAGCCAGCACGGCGCGGTGGGCCTTGAAGGCCTGGCCCTTGACCACGATGGACACATCGCAGTAGAGGCCCAGCAGGCGCTGCTCGTTCAGACAGCCCAGCACGGTGTTCCCAAAGTTGGGGATCTCAATGTGCAGCATCTGGGACATGGTGGCAGCAGGGGTGGCGGGCACCCCTCAGACTCTCAGCGCTGGAGCAGACCAGTGGGGCTCATCTGCAAAGAGAGGGAGAGTGGGCAGTCAGGATCCTGCTGGGATGGGCCCTCTGCACCCCCAGACCAGAGTCACTCCCGGGAAAGGGCCTCCCCCGACTGCGTAGCCAAATCGAGATGGCAAAGAACTGCTGCAGAAAATGCCAGGAAGCTCAAGGACCACTCCAGCTGCCCCCACAGCTTCCCTAAGCCCCCCCCTGAGAGCACAGGAGGCCACCAGCCACCTCCTGCCTCAGAGGACAAATGACAGCTGTGACCTGCAGGAGGACACAGCCAGGAGGGACAGAGGGGCCTCTCTGCTCCCCAGGAAAAAGTTAAGGCGGAGAACAGCTCACCGCTGTGGCCCTCAGTGGGCAGGCGGGGCACAGCGGGGCAGCGGGGGTTCTGCCCCCCCCCGGGGGTTCTGCCCCCCCCCGCAGATGCCTGGCCCTGCTGGGGAGGGGCAGTGGAGAAAGGAGGGGGTGGCCAGGGAAGTCAAGATGAGAGACCCAGCCAGTTCCCCAAGGTCCCAGCCACCTCTGCCTGCAAGGGGAGCTCTGGGAGCCGGGCTGAGGGGGTCTGAGCTGCGCCTGGACTGTACAGGGGACCTGGGGTCCAGCCAGGACGCTGAGCTGCCCGTGGCTGCTGTGGCCCAGGAGTTGGGAGTCTGTCGCAGGAACGCTGTTCTCGACCCCGTTCCGCGCCAACCCAGTCCCGCTCCAAGCCCAGGTAACTAAAGGGGTCACAGCTGCGGAAGGGGCGCAGGGGGCTGGAGAGGGGCGCTGGCCAGTCCCCCAGAGGCCGCTGTTGACCCAATGGCAGGCTGGGAGGGGCGGGGGAGGGGACGGCCGGGGAGGGCGCAGGTCCAACTCCGGGCAGGCCGGCCGGTAGCCGGCACAAAGGGCCACTCTGTCCCCCCCCCCAGGGGAGCGAGTGCGGGGCCGAGCGGGGCGGCCGGGGGTGGGGCGCGCGGGTCCCTGTGCGGGGCAGGCGCGGGGCGGGGATGGGCGCGCTCTTCCGAGGCCCGCAGTGCCCGCTGCGGAGAAGTTGCCAGCGCGGCGGGCGGCTGCAGCTGGCCGGGGACCTACCTTCGGCCACTGCTGCCCGCTCGCCGGTGGCCGCCGCCCGCGGGGCCGCTCCGTCCGCACCGTGGCCGCCGGCGCTCTGACTGCGGCGGGGAGAGCGCTGCGCGCAGGGCGGAGGCGGGCCGGTCCCGCGCGGCGCCGCTCAGCTGCACCAGCCCGGCTCGCCCAGGCAGCACACAGCATCCAAATGAAGAGGCCGGATGCAGACGGACATGCAGGCAGCGGATGAATAGCCGCCTTTGATTCGGGCGCCGGAGCCAATGCCAGCTCCCAGCCCGGCTTTCAAAACAGCAGAGTGGCGGTGCCAGAGGCCCGCACAGCCGGGTGTTGGTACGAGACAGACTTTTGATGACTCACCGCAAACAAAGATGGCAGAAATACTGTACTGTACGCGGGAACGCTTCGCCCGCAGCCCAGCCAGCCGGAGATTTATAGTGCAGTTTTGCATATGAATTACTCCGGGAACGGCCTCCCCTGCCACCCAGTGCCGAGTGTCAAAGCATTTAAAGTATTCCAAACAGTCTGTGGGGCGGGCAGCCCGTGCAAGGCAACTCCTCTGGGCAGGCGGCCTGCAGAGGGAAGCTGGGGGCAAGCGGGGGGAGCTGGGAGCACAGCCCCAGAAAGCGCGCTAAGGGAAGTTGGGGGCACAGCCCAGGAGACAAGGCAGAAGTTGGGGGCACAGCCCTAGAAAGGGGGGTCTGAGAATTTGGGGCACAGCTTTGAAGAGGAAGGTAGAAGTTGGAAGTACAGTCTTTTGGGGGGCCGGAGGAGTTGGGGGCACAACCCTGGAGACAGGGTAGGAGAGCTTGGGGCATAGCCCTGGAGGGGAGATGGAAGTGGGACACAGGTTGGGAGACAAGGCAGAAGTTGGGGGCACAGCCGCAGAGAGGAAGGTAGAAGTTGGGGCACAATCCTGGAGAAAGGGTAGGAGTTAGGGGCACAGCCCTAGAGAGGAAAGTAAGAAAAGTTGGGGCACAGCCCAGGAGACAGGGCAGAAGAAATTGGGGGCACAGCCCTGGAGAGGAGGAATAGAGTGTGGAGGAGGGGGAACAGAGGGAGCGGTCAGTAGATAAGAAATGGATGGAGGAGGTGGGAGCAGAGGAGTGGGGTGCACAAAAGAAGGGCCTGGGGGGAGGGGGAGGGGGGAGGTAGAGTGGGATGAGGGGGATGGGGACAGAAGGGAGTCTACAGGGGATGGGGAGAGCACAGGAAGGAACGTACAGGAAAGAAGGGACACCAGAAGTGGTCAGTGGAGTGGCCCCTTAGGGTGGACATCTCCAACCCACCCCATCCCTTTGGGGACCCATGTCCCATGTGCCAGGTCCAGCTGGTCTGGCCTCAACACCTCCCTGGTCCCCTCTCTAAGGCAACTGCCCAGCCCAGTCCCAGCTCTGACTCCTTAGAAGGAGGCACCTCGGGACCATGGCTGTGGCTGGGCCCACTGGAGCCAAGTGCCAGGAGCCCCCAGGCCCACCCTCCAGCCCCACCCGCAGGGGCCTGGCTGAGGCATCCTGCCCCCACTCATGCTGCCGCGGCATCTCTGGGAAGAGCCATCTGCAATAATGTGATCTGTAGGATCTGATACCGGCTGCCTTCTGGGAAGGGGTGGCATGTGAGTCCCCAGTGGGGCCACCCAGCACCAGCCAGGGCTCACCACCTCCTGCAGCTGCATGCCCAAATGTCACTGGAAGCCCTGCCTTCATTTCCCCACCTGTGTGAAATCACACCCACAGGGAGAGGTGTGTTCCCACAACTCCTGCAACTGACCCCAAGGGGAGCAGGCCTAGGGGCAGGACTGAGGCAGCCTGCCTAGTGTCCCTCAAAGCACCACCTGGCACTGGGTAGGACCAGGTGTCCCCAGAGATGGGACCAGGTGGCCTAGCACCATTTGAGGGAGGCTGGGCCTCCCACCTGCTGCTGACAGGAAGAGCTGAGGGAACACCCACACAACTATTCTAAAGACCTGGGGCCTCTGGGCAGGGAGACCCTCATCAGGGAAGCTGGGGGGTGGGGAGACACCTCACACACCTGGCCAGCCCTCCTGTTCAACAGTCAACAACAGGAGAGAGGCTGTGACGCCCAGCACGTGCATCTGTCATCTCTGAGCAGCCAGATCCAATCCAGCCCGGCCCCTCAACTCAGGCAAATCACTAGCCTGAAGGTCTCCATCTGCTCACCTGCCACAGGGGTCTCTGGCTCCAGGAACTCAGCCTGGAGGGCTTCCAGGAGGAAGGGGCCACCTGAGAAGATCCTGGGGTGTTTGCCCAGGCCTTCCCCTCCCAGCAGCTCCCAGGTGGCACTGCTCACCCTGCCCTGGGGCCCTTGCAGCACAGAGCTCAGCACACCCTGCAGTCTATTGCAGCTGCAGTATATCCCAGTTCCTGTCCTGGGCAGCCTCCCCCTGCCCCAGAGGTCCCAGCCAGAGTCCTGTCAGACCTCAGAGGGGACCACGGCGTCCTAGGAACCCCCTCTCAGGGCCGCGAGAAGTCCAGTGCCCCAGGATGGGGGGCTGGAAACTGAGCGAGACCACTAGCCACATCAGGCAGTCAGGGGGCCAAAGGAGTGGAGTAGAGCTGGACCTGGCAGGCGGAGGGCAACTGTCCTCAGAACAAGGGGTGAGTGTGAGGTATTGGACCCCATGATGGGGTAGGTAAGAGCAGAATACAAAACTAGGGGTCTCAGCAGACACTTTCACACTAGGGAAAGCAGGGGATAGGTGCCTGCCAGGAGGGGACACCCTGGTCAGTCTTTCTAGGCCATCAGAGGCTAGCAAAGTCCCTTGGGCCCCAACCGCCCCACTGAGGATGTAGCAAGGTCAGTGACTCTCCTGGATCATCCCTGTCCAGCTGGGACTCCCCTGGCACTGCAGGCCAGGCGCTGGCCATGCCCTGTCTTCTTCCTGTGGCCTGGACACTGGAACCTTGTCCAGAATGTAGGCTGCGTGGAGGGACACTCCAAGACTCAGGTGACTGGCCCGACACAGGCAGATTTGTCCGCTTTCAGGGGTCACTACCCCAGGGCAAGGTGTCCTTCACTCACCAGGCTGCATCTTCGAGGCCTATGCCCAGAGCTGGGGACCGATCAGCTGGCCCAGAAGGGACCATTATTCCCCTGGATGGTGCTAAGGCCACTGGGGCCCCCAGGGAACAAGGACAACCGATGCCTTTGCAGCCTGTCCTCAGGCCACCTGGGAGGGAGCAGGCCAGGGGCTGGTTTTCAGTTGCTTTCTTAGAAGCCTCGGCGGGGCAAGAACAAAGCTGACCTTTACAGAAAAGAAAGAAATGCAGTTTCGGCTTCCGGGCTCAGCCGGGGAGCAGAACACGCCAGGGCCCGAGCCAAGGGCCCAGCCGGCATGGCAGAGGCCATGGAGCCAGAGGCAGCAAGAGTGCCCAGCGCATGGACACCAGCATCTTCTCATTTTTCTATGCTCAGTGGGAAGCAGCCTGCTCTGCTCTGCTCTGCTCCCACCTGCCAAGTATGCCTCAGTTTCTCTAGATGTAAAAGAAGGCTGACGACTGACCCCTCACTTTCCCGACAACAGACACCCCTGCTCCGCTTCCTCTGGTCAAGGAGTAAATCAGAGTCCCGACTTGGTCCGGGGGCCCTGGGGTGGACTTCAGTGTGGACTGGCTTGGTGACTCCAGCCTTTCTCAAAGTGACCACGCCTGGCAACCCTCACTCTCAACAGGCCCTTCAGAACAGGATCCACTGTGGGAAACACCTGCAGAACCCTCCTGTGAGGACAGTCCCCCCAAAACAAGAAAAGGGCTGACCCGGGCCACTGACACCAAGATGTCCCAACCTCAAAGGTGAGGTGTGGAAGCCAGGCTGTCTCTGCTTCTCAGACCCAGGCCTGCCCTGCCCAGGTGCCCCTTCCCCTGGTGCCCCTGGGCAGGGACCCTGACAAATGAACAAGGGAAGGTAGTGTCCCTTTGAGGGGTCC